TGAGGACAATACAAAGTCCAGCAGAATTCTGAAGACTGGAGTAAGGATTCAGGCCAGGCAACCAAGAACTCCTCAATCCCTGTTTTTTGACTTCTTACACCAAAAGATAACTCACAGAGCAACCACAAAATGGAGAGGCTCCTTTCCCAGCAGAATACTCATCATGTAGAAGCAGAAGTATTCTGTCACTGTCCCGAGGTAGGAAAGCTCATTCCTGAAGCACCTGAAATAAATGGATACCAAAAAGTGTAATTGGCAGCTGTCTCAATCAAGAGTACTAGATAACACTGGTTTTACAGTCTCTGGATCCAGCTGATGTAGGCTGAACCAGACTCTTCTCACACAACACTCCCATTGGCAGCAGAAGGGCATCTTCCAATTTAGTCTCATCGAAAACTGCTCAGTGGAAACCAAAGCACAATGAGTGAAGAGATTTGCTTGCAGAGATGTTGCACTGCTGATCTGAACTAAAATGTAGGTGCAGGTACTAATGTAGGCATATGGTGTAGGCAGAGACCCCCTCTGACGCTTGGCCACCTGAAGTGGCTCATGACCATTAGCTTTGACCTTTCCCGAGTGACTTTGGTATTTCGGTTCTTCCTAAGCGAACAGAATCCAGACAGTCTCACAAACAGATAAGCAAGACACTTCCATATAGAAGAAAAGGCTGTGAATTTATGTTCTGTAAAGGAGACATAAATTCCTTCCATTAAGGGTCTCCTGTTTTGTTTGTAGTCACCTAAAAAGTCATTATAGTGAAAAGGAAAAGACTTACACTTTGCTTTTCTTCAGAAGGGAACAGCCCAAACACTTCACTCCAGTCTTTTCAGTCTCCTTGTGTACACTTATGTATCCTGAAGTACCTGCCAGAGGTATCCAAACCACAATCTTATCCAGTGAAATCGAAGAACTTGTCTTCAAAATTGCACGGATTTTTTGGGACCTGTCAAACACCCACGACTCAGAGAACAACCACAGGTGGTTTATGAGTATGAATCACCCCTGAACAAAACTGATCATTAAAATGTTTTTATGCCAGGAAAAAAAATAATCATTTATGCCTGTTGGACAGCCCTCAGAAGTGAAACATGAAGACAAACTGATCAGAGTCCATTTAAAATTTAAGTTGAATTTAAATGTAAAAATCTTTCGAGATCTCTCTGCCTCTGAACAGATCTCCTGGTTAAAAAGCTTCATGACCTACTGCAAGAACATATAATCTAATTTATCATTCCACAGTGAGGCCCTTAACCACTGGATTAGAGGGCACTCAGCCCTTTCTATCCATCCACTGGACAACAGAAGGGGGCAGAATGCAGGTGAACGAGAGCAGCTTGTGGAGAACTGACTGTGGGGATGTCAGTTAAGGATTCCTGATCTTTGCGAGTGACATTTGAAGAGCTGGTGAAAGAATCCTGTGGAATGGGAAGACACCAAAAGAGCAAGGATCTTCTTTCCTAACTGTGAGCTATTGAACCACCCATAAAGCCTGTACAGGACAGAGATGGGAGTGACGTGAAGGTTCACATGTTTGGAAAAAATGAATTCTTTTGAATAAAAGCTAAAGGCAACTTCTCAAATAGGAAAACCTGGACCCTAGGTCGTCAGCAGTCTCCATCCACTTTGATTTTGGCACTTCAGAGAAGGGAGGGAAGCTTACATGTCCTGATAGGCTTTGTGCTCAAGAGGCATTTGGCTGCCTGTTCTGGATCATCCAAACCTGACCAGGAATTCTGTAGCAAGCTTAATTCTCCCCTTTGTATCCTAAGCAATAGTCATCTAGTTTTCAGGTCCTAGCAAGGAACCATCCAACTCTTTTTTTTAACTCTTTTTTTTTTTTTTAACATCTTTGTCTGCTGTTCTGATCAGTGTTCCCAGGCTGCATAATCTCTGCAAACTAGCAGGGTAAGAAAGGAGAGAAATGAGTACATGAAAAAGTACATGAAAAAGTACATGAGAATAGCCTGGATTACAAATTGAATGCACGCAAATTAGCCAATTTTTACTTCATCTCTTTGCAAATAGAGATGGGCTGCATTTTAAACTTTTCTTTATGGCTGGAAGTACTCAGGACCCCATCAGCACCCTCTGCCCAGAACTGCCAGCAGCTGCTGTACAAGTCCTGCCTCCGGTGTTCCTGCAGGAGCAATTTTGGGATGCGAAAGCACAGAGATAACGAGCTGAAGCATTACCTTACCTTAAAAATAATTTGCACATTAAATCACAATAATAATAATAATAGTAATAATAAAAAGGTGCAGAACTTATCCTACCCTTACCAAAATCATAACGTTTAATAATAATTTAATAGAAAGATCTCTTTGGGCTTCCAAAACTAGTAAAAACTTTGTTAAATCTCTTGTAACTTAAAATAGCAAACCCAATAAACCAGTGTTTTTATTATGAAAAGTTTACTCTCCAGCTGAGCACTTGAGTGCCAAATTGCAGCCAGAATCACACTTTCACAGCCAAATTAGAAACGTAGAACGCAGTGTTTTATGATGGAGCCCTTTGCCAGGCACTTCACTGGGGCTACCAGCTGCTCTAATAATAAGCGAACGTTATTGAAAAATAATCATGCCGAGCGTTCAAAAGCGCTAAGAGCAAATGAGTGAACGTAGCGCTTTCTGCACGATAAGGAGAACAGGCTAAAACTCTCTAACTCCAGGTGTGCTCCACGCTGTAAGAGGGTCTCAGTGACTCCGCGGGGTGGGAGCAGCGATCCTGCCGGTGTCATCGAGACAAGCGGCGCGCTCGGCAACTTTTGACGGCTGAAAGCGATGTGGAATCGGTGGTTGATACCTACACCCAGAAAAATGCCAGCTTCCAAGCCGGCGTGTGGAAACGCCGGAGAGCACAAACAAAGCCGTGAAAAGGCTCTGTGGCTCTCTGAGCACGGCTCGGCGATGGGGCACTGAGGCGCTGAGTCAGCCGCGCACGCAGTCGGAACGATTAGATGCAGATCGCTATCGGTTTCACCACCGTTCTTCACCTACTTTTTATCTCCTTCGCTTGCCACCCCATTGTTAAGCTCAAATCAAAATTAGGAGGAAAGGAGGCGGCTTCCTCGAAACTCGCCTTAAACCTGGCTTTGGAATAAAGCGGCTTCTAAAACCTGGCTGTCCGGGTGTGGAGATGCGGGGAGATGCTCGGGTTGGGCGGAGGGTGCTACAGAGAGGGACCCCGCAGGGGACGAACGGGTGATGATGCTCTCACCCCGAATGTTTCAGAAAGCGCTCGAGTCTCGCGCGGTGGGATACAGCGCTGTATTCTGGAATTTCTTGTTCAGCGATAGCTCATCCGCTCGTTTTCTTCCCCCGATAACACAGGGAAAGATCGCGCCCTTGAATTTGCGTGCGTCAGAAGTGCCAGGTCAAAGGCAGGCAAATCCCATGAGCCACGGTCGGGTGGGCAGCGTTTCGATAACGCCGCGTTATCGCAACCGTTAACGCCTCGCCCAGCTACGGCGGCGGCTTCACCCATCGGGAGCTCAGCAGCACGGAGCTCCGCGCCCCGTCGGGGCTCGGCGGTGGCCGGGTCTCCGCCGCTCGGCTCCGAGAGGGACCGAGAGGCGTTCCCAACGCTTCGAGCCGCAGAGATAACCGCGAGGGTCTATGGTTTAGGAGCCAGGCGTTACCGCCCGGAAGCTTCGGTAGCGAGAGCTTCGAATGGAGCGTTTCATTTATAATAGGAGAAATATCCGTGAGCCGCTACACAGCCATTCGAAGCTTTCGGTCCGTGCAGTAATTCAGGACCGATGGGTGAAGCCTCCGTGCCGCAGCCGACCCGAGGGCTGCCAGCGACGGACACCCGTGAGGAGGGCGCTGACATCGCGTCGGGTTCGAACGGGCGGAATAGGAAGGAGATCGCTTCCCCTGCTCGAACGAGGGCCGAAAACAGCTCTCCTAATCCCGGGCTGCGAACTGCTGACGGCAGCCCAACCGCCCGCGGGTACTCCGGCTCGGAACTTTTGTCACGGCTGCGGGCCCGTGTTAAGAGTTAATGGTGCGTTCCGCTCGGTGCTTTCCCGCAGCACAGCGCTCAGTCAGAGCCGGGCTGCGGAGCGCCGACGGGGCGAAAGGTTCGGCCCTGACTGACGGGGCGGCCCCGTGCGGGCGGGGAGGCGAGGGACGGTGGACGAATCGGCGCGGAGCGGCGGTGCTGTCAGGGCCACGAGAGCGGCCCTCCGACGGCATCCCGCGCAAAAACGGCCGCGCTCGTCCCAACCGGGGATCCCGGCGGAGCTCCCTCCCGGGACGCCGTTCTGACAGCCGCACGACTCACGGACGCGTTTCGCCGGCACCGCGCCGCTGTCGGGCGACGCTCCGCGGGAGCCGCCGGGGACCCGCGGCAGCGCGCATGCGCGAAACCGGCCCCGCCCCGACCTGCTGGCGAGCCCCGATGGGGGCGTGGCCAGTGTCCCCGCCCCGCCCCTCCTCGCGCGGAAGCCCCGCCCCTCCCGCGGCGCGCGGCGGCGGGAGGCAGCGGGGATATAGCGCCGGGCGGCGCGGGGGCGTGCGTAGAGCTGCGCCGCGCGGCGGGAGGAGGAGGAGGAAGAAGGAGAAGAAGGAGAAGAAGAAGAAGAAGAAGAAGAAGAGGGGGCGGCGGCGGGCGCAGCGCCGGGCCGGGCGTTTCCGAGAGGGGCCCGCCCCCCGCCGCTCCCTCCCGCCCCGCCGCCCCTCCGAGCCGGCGGCCAAGAAAACCCAGAGAGACCTGGCGGCTCCCGGAGAAGGGGGAGCGCGGGCGGTGGAGCCGCGCGGCGGGAGGAGCGCCCCGCAGCCCGCCCGAAACTCGCCCGAGTTGGAGAGCGGCGGGCGGAGGAGGCCGCGGCGCCCGGCGGCGGCGAGTATGTGCGCGGGGCGGGCGGCCCGGCGCGGCCCCGCGGGCGGAGCGCGGCGGCTGTGAGCGCGGCGCCCCGGGGCCCCCGCAGCGCCCGAGCCGCCGCCGCCGGCCCCGCAGCGCGCTCCGCGGGCGGCCATGGCTGCGGGCGGCCGCTGACCGCCGCCCCGTCGAGGACGAACCCTGGCCCGGCGGGCGGCGGCGCGGAGAGAGGCTCCGAGGCGGGTACCGCCACCCGTCCCGCCCGCAGCGCCCCGCGCCCGGAGCCGCCGAGATTGACTGGGGCGGAGCGGAGCGCGGCGCGGCCGCGGAGCCGGAGCCGGCCGAGGAGGAGTGCGGGCGGCGGGACACCATGTCCAAACCGGTGGACCACGTCAAGAGACCGATGAACGCTTTCATGGTGTGGTCGCGGGCGCAGAGACGGAAGATGGCCCAGGAGAACCCCAAGATGCACAACTCGGAGATCAGCAAGCGACTGGGCGCCGAGTGGAAGCTGCTGAGCGAGGCGGAGAAGCGGCCCTTCATCGACGAGGCCAAGCGGCTGCGGGCCATGCACATGAAGGAGCACCCCGACTACAAATACCGGCCGCGCCGCAAGCCCAAGACGCTGCTCAAGAAGGACAAGTTCGCCTTCCCCGTGCCCTACGGGCTGGGCGCCGTGGCCGAGCACGAGCCCCCGCACGGGCTGAAGGCGGCGGCGCTGCACGGCGGGGCCGCGGGCGGGCTGGGGCCCGACTCGCTGCTGGGCAACCCCGAGAAGGCGGCCGCCGCCGCCGCCGCGGCCGCCGCGCGCGTCTTCTTCCCGCAGTCGGCCGCCGCCGCGGCCGCCGCCGCCGCTGCCGCCGCCGCGGGCGGCCCCTACTCGCTGCTGGACCTGGGCTCCAAGATGGCCGAGATCTCCTCGTCGTCGTCGGCGGGCTCGGCGCTGCCCTACGCCTCCTCGCTGGGCTATCCCGGCGCCGGCGGGGCGGGAGCTTTTCACGGGGCCGCCGCCGCCGCCGCTGCCGCGGCCGCCGCCGCCGGGGGGCACACGCACTCGCACCCGTCCCCCGGCAACCCGGGCTACATGATCCCCTGCAACTGCAGCGCCTGGCCCGGGCCCGGGCTGCAGCCTCCGCTGGCCTACATCCTCCTGCCGGGCATGGGCAAGCCCCAGCTGGACCCGTACCCCGCGGCCTACGCCGCCGCGCTATGACCCGCGCTGTGAGCCGCTGCCCGGGGGAAGCGGGCGGAGAGCGGCGGAGCCGCCGCCGACCTGTTGCGCGCCGCCCCGCCTCGAGCTCGTGTGTGTGTTGCATGCGGATAGCCGAGCTGAGAGGGAGTGAGAAAAAGAGGAAAAGAAAAATGAAAAAAAAAAAGAACAAAAAAAAGAACAAAACCGAACAACCTTCCCCCCTCCCCCACCTCCCCCCAAGACCGTCCGTCCATCCGTCCCCTCGAAAAAAGTGCTTCCTCGGGGACGTGGGCTCGGGAAGGGCCGCGCGGGGATGCGCCGTTCCCCCGGGACGGTTCCCACGGGGGCAGAGATGGGGCGGTGCCGCTCCGCTCCGCGGGTGTCAGCCCGGGACTGTACATGTGTCAATGTCTGTGGCAACGTTAGGTCTCGGATCGGAAAGTCTGTCGCTTCCTTTGCCCACGGTCGAGTCGGTTTGAAGCTGAAGAAAAGGGAAAGAAAAAAAAAAAAAAGGAAAAAAAAAAAAAGTGATGGAATGCCTTTCAAAGGGAATAAACATATTGCGGGACCGTTCGGGGATCGCGATATGATCTAAGGTTAAATCAGACTTTTTTGTCTGAGTGCTAATTATCTATTTATTATGTAGCTGAACTGAAGCAGAGCTTTGCTTTGACGGAAGAGTATTTCTCATTTAAAGAAACCCCGTCCCCGCCACCACAGAGTGTGTCACTGTGTCTCGGAGAACCCCCCCCCTTCCCCCACTCCAAAGCCCCCCTTATCCCGTTTAGCTGATTTTAGAGCGACCGCAATTCAATTGCAAGTGACGATTTGAAGCCGGAACACAAATTTTAGAGGGGAATCCTCCATCGGTTTATAGAGTTCTTTTTGGTTTACTTTTGTAATGTGTATATTTTGACTAATGGTTGTGAATGAAGCTGGCTAACCTGTATTTAGTTTCATTTTGGCTTTATGTAATATAAAGTAAAACGACAACGGAAAGAAAGGAAACAAAGATTAAGTATTGGTTTTAACATTTACGTGTAAATGGTTTTCTTGTGTGACCTTCTAATTTAAAGTTAGACGTCTGAACGATATCTGTACATTAGATTCCGACTGCCACTCTGTTCATTTTTGAACAAAGAGTTTAAATAAAGCCTGAAGCAGGGAAAGGAGAACCCCTCTCGTTCTCGTGGCGTTCCTCTCAGCTCCCATCGCATCGCCCCTCCGCGCCGCCCCGGCTGAGGTGTACGGTGTCCTCAAGGCGCTCTTTGTTTCATCCTGAATAGATTTACGGGGATATCTAAATCGGGCCATTGTTATTCCGAGCCAAAAAAAAAAAAAAAAAAAAAAAAAAAAAAAAAAAGATTTATCACGTTTTTTAATCGTGAATAGGAAAGAAGATTTGAGGAAAAAAAAAAAAAAAAAAAAGGCCATGTTGTGTTATCTTAAAAAAAAAAAAAAAAAAAAAAAGGTATTCATGGACGGCAGGAGAGAGTTCACGGAGTGCGCTGAGCCCGATGGCAGCGTTTCATGGGTTCCCAGTGACACTGAGGGAGCGCGATGTGGCCGAGCGCTGCTTCTGATCGGCGTCACCCCTGCTTTGCACCCCGTGTCATTACGTCCAGGATGTATTTCGGATCCGTTCCCGCAGCGCGTTTCGAGGGGTTCCTCGTGGTGGCGAACGAAACCCCGACGGCTCCTTTGACCTTACCCTTCTATTGCAGGTGGAGCGCCTGCGTGCGGCTTTGCGCCGGGGGACGGAGCGGGACGTCGGGGTACGGCGGGCGGGGGAACGGAGCCCGGCACCGGCCCGCAGCTCTCGGCCGCTTTATGTGCGTCTGTGCTCGTGTATCTACGCCTATCTATATAGGTATCTCTTCTTCTTTTCCTCCGGAGCGGCTGCTCGCGCTCTCCGTTGCGACATTTGGAGGAAATGCCCTCCAAATCGGCGCTCCCCTCGGAACCTCGTTTAAGAAGTGGAAAGTTGGGGAGCTGAGCGGAGCCGCCCGCCCGTGTGACCCCGATTCACTCATTAAAGCGATCCCGCTTTTGTTATTCCCCCAGCGCTTCGCAATATTATAAGTTAATTCATATGGTTCTGAGCGATTATGCAAAACTAATTTGGACTGTCCAGGGGTAATTATCCCTGACACGGTTAATTAAATCCTTTCAGGGCTCCGCCGTTCCCTTTTGTGGCAGCCCATCACTTCTCAACACGGAACTTCCTGCCGCTTCCCTGGAAGTCGCCCCAGCCCTAAATCTCCGTGACCTCCCCGCTCTGCCCCGCAGCCCCGCACGTTTCCTTTTCGCCTCCCCCGCCTTGGAGGTAACCGTGCCCTCCCCGGGACGCGAAAGCGGCTCCCGAGAGAGCTCCCCGCTTATCGAGGCGGGCCTGGCTGTTCGTCCCTCTTTCTTTAGCGTTTAATTATTAGCGTTACTATCGCACTGTTTGTCTTTTACTCTTCCCAGAGCCTGCCCCGTCCCGGAATCTTCCTGCCCCTCGGGCGCTCCCGGTGCCGCTCTCCTCCTCCGGGTTCGGATTCCGAGCGCGCCGTACTGATTTGCACCATCCGAGAGCCTTTGGCCCCGGACAGCCGCGCCGACGGGAACGCAGCCCGCACCTCCCCCCCCCCTCCCCCCCCTCTCCATCCCCCTCCATTCCTCCCCTTAACCCCCTCCCCGGCCGCCGTCCGATCGCGGTGGAAAGTTTGTTAATATCTCCCCCCGCCTCTTCTCACCCAGCCCGGTGCGTCCCAAAGGTCAGCACTTTCCTTTTCAAGGACTGATATTATTAATTCGCTGACAATTTCCCTCTCCCCCCTCTTCCCCCCCACCCCACCCCTACCCCACCCCCCCCACCTTCTCCCCCTTTCTCTTTTCTCTCTCGCAGAGGGGAAAAGAAAAAAAAAAAAAAAAAAGAGAGAGAGAGAGAGAGAGAAGGGGGAAATGGTGAAAAGAGCTTTTCTTCTTCGTCTTCTTCTCCTTCTTTTTTGTCCTGCAGTGGGAGCGTTTAGACAGTCGAGGAGGTTTTGTCCGCGAACAAAACCCGGGGTTGGGAGGTTTTGTGAGAGCGTTGTTTGTTGAAGTGGAGCTAAGAAAAAGCGGCGGCTTTCTCCTCATTGTGAGGAAACCAATCAGCGGTATTTGGAAAACTGTTAGCATTGTGCACTTCTTCTGTGCCCATTGTGAGGCGTTTCTTTTCACAAGGTTTTTTTTTCAGCCGCTCCAGCTGGCCAGAATGAATGGCGGTGCGATGTGTACACGCTTTGTCCCTCCGGCCCTTCAAGTAGCCCCCATTGAATAGACTGAGTTGACACTGCATGACAGTGAAACAACATAATAAAAAATACATGAGCCCCTGAATGGGAGCAGGCGCATAAATAAATAAAATGGGTGACCAAAACTGGATAAACTGAATGACAAAACGGTGAAAGGGGAACAAAAAGATATTTAACACGCTAGATTAGCATTAGAATGCAATCTACAAGGCAGAACAATTGATGAATAGGTTTACCGGCCAAGAAAGAAATGGACTAAATGCCCTTTGAATAGATACGCTTTTGGCGAGGGCTTTGAATAGATATGCTTCTTGCGGGGCTGAATGGGAAAAGGTAAAGATGGAGCTATGCAAATGGCCGAGAGAGTGAGGGAACTTTTATGTGTCTTAAAAAAAGAAGCGCACACACACCAGGAAAGAATGCCGGCGCAGGATGTTTACTGAAGCAATCATTGCCATTATTAGCGTTGTCTCGGAACAGATAGAGATCGAACAGGTTGGGGATAAAACAAAGCGGCGCTAATTATTTTCCTAATGAACGGTCTTTTGCCTGTGAGAGAGAGGAAAAGGAAAGGAGAGGAGAGGAAAGTTGCGCACAAGTCACTCTACCCCGAACTCAATTACTCAGCGCTGGGAGCACCTTCCCCTGCCCCGGGACCCCTCCGACGGGCCGGCACTGAAGCAGCACCGGGAGCTCCGGGGTGCAGGAGCTGGGGGCAAAACTCGAGCATCCCCAACCCCCCCAGCCCCCACCCCGCGTCACCTGCGCGCTGCCGGCTCTCGGGGGAACCGCGGCCGTGTGCTATTTGCGCGCTCGTAGCGGGACTCCCGCGAACTCTCCCGCTCGGGAGGTGGTGGAACTCGGGATAGGGATGAGAGTCAATCAGCGCTGCCTTCAGTCTCTTCTTCCTCTCGGCCGCCGCTGCTTTGCTCCCGTCCTTCACGGACGGCCCTCGGTTCCCTGTGCCGGAACGGTGAGGCACGGAGGGGGACAGGGACTCACTGTAAACACCTCGGTGCTTGCTTTTTTTTTTTTTTTTTTTTTTTTTTTGAATGCGTTTATTATCATATTAGCAGAGGAGTATGAAACATACGGCGTATTACTCACCCTATGCCTGCAGGCAGAGAATTCTCCTATTGAAATCAACCAGTATAACCAGATTTCTTATGGGAAATTACAGAGGACATCTTAAAACTCTTCTCACGGAAATATATTACTGGAATGTCAGTCTCAACCCAGCGTTTCCCTTTCCCCCCCCCCGCTCCCTTCCCAGTTACAACAAGTCTTTGGCCACTTCCAGCTGTGGGGCTCAGATCCTTCGGGGCGTCCGTCGGACACACGCCGGCCGGCGGCGAGGGCCCCGCTGCAGTCTCCAAGACGCCGGCGGCTGCCCCGGGTAGTGCATAGAGGAGAGGGGATAGGACACGGGAAAGGCACTGGGGCAGAGAGTATCTCGTCCCATCCCGTTCCATTCCATCCCGTCTCGTCCCGTCCAATCCCATCCCGTTCCATCCGATCCCGTGCCGTCCCATCTCCTCCATCCCGTCCCATCGGGGCATCCCCCTCTGCCCTCTCCCTCCCACCGCGATAAGGAGACAACAGGGACGGAGCTGATAGCTGCTAAATGCCATCGAGCAGCTCAGGGGGAATACAGCCCTCTCTTTTTTCTCCCCTCGAGGCTCCCCCCCTTCCCCCCAGCTCCCAAACACCTGAGCTCCCCGACAGCGGTACCCGCGCTCAGCAGAGAGAGGAAAAAAAGGGGTTCTGAAGGCAGAAAAGATATCCCTGGAAGAGAATAATGTATGTGCCGGGATTGTTCAACTTTTAATAAGTTTTAGGACTAATTCCAAAAGCAGCAATGATTCCCGATCAAATTATTCCCCTGGAAATGCTCCTACACGTTCTTTTTATTAAGATTTCTTTGGCTGCCAGATATGAAATACGAGACGTACGAGATTAAAAAAAAAAAAAAAAAAAAAAAAGTAAAGTAAGGGCAGCAGCAAATTCTTAACCTTTTTTTTTTTGTTTTTTTTTTTTTTGGTTTTTTTTTTTTTCTTTCTTTCTTTTTCTGTTGTTTCAGAGGGAAGGAGGAGGGCGGAGGACGGAGCGGTGCCACCCGCTGTTCCCCCCCCTTTCCCCCCCCCCCAAGAGCCGAGCATCTCCCGATGCGATCCGATCTCGGACCGCCCGCGGGCTGCGAGCCGCTCCGTGCGGAGCGCTTCGGGGCCGTGCGGACACCGCCCGGCGCAGCCCGGTGTGGGGCTACGGGCTCATTGCGACCCGAGGACGTCTCACCTACCCTGTGGCTGTTAGCTGCTTATTAACGCATCTTAATAACCCGAATTGTCTCTACAGCGCAGAGCTCGGGAGTAAGAACCATTAAATCTGTTCGTGTTTTAAGAGGGATCAAGACTGAACCGAAATCAATTAGCTCCGTCGACAAACACCGAGCCCTCCTGCGGACAAGTGGCAACCGCACTGCCAGCGTACCTCGCTCGGTGATCGCAGGGGCCGGTATCGCTCCTCCCGACATCGGCTTTCGCCGTGCACAGCCCTGGCACAGAGGAACCCCCGGGTCTCGGCTTCCCGCACAGGCTGGGGAAAGCCCCCAGCCTCTGCGACGGATGCCACCGCCTCCCGTGTCCTCCTGTTCCCATGTACCCCAGTCCCCATGTCCTCATGTCCCAGTGCCCAGCCAGCCGAGGCCACCCGTGGGAAAGAACAGGGGAGCTGCGATCAGAGTCCCCCGAATCACGGGGATGGATCTCCGGGTCCTGATTACGGAGGTTCCCACCTCCTGCTCTGTGGGGCTCTGCTCTACAGTCGGTTTGCTTTCTTATCTCACGTTATACACTTCCAAAGGGAAACAGACACGGAGCTTCGCTAGAGCTTCTGCACAGACCTTTACTGACCTCGGTAATGTAATGACTGAAGTACAAAGGTGTGTTTGCCCGTTGCCTTTGCGGCCTGAATATTCTGCGTGCAGGATGCTTCTCATCAGCTGAATTTAATATGCGGCATCCCAGCACTCAAGCGCCGAAGG